CCCAGAGGTACACTCTGGGAAACACCACCTGTCCGCGCTGCAGGGGCGAGAAAAGGCTAGAGTGGACCGCTCTCAGCCTTCACCACCCTGACTCATTTAGCCGGCACCCACACCAACCCCCAACCTCGGTAGGGCAAGCTGATGCATATCTTGGGCACTGGACCTCAGCCAAGGCAGCCAGGCAGAGCGGGCCCCAAGTGGCCCCGGGTGAGGGCCGGGTGGGCACCTGCCAGCTCCTGCCGCCCCCTCCCATGCCCCAGCTGGGAACCCTAGTCCACAGGGGCCCCTGCCTGACCCATTCTTCCACATGGCTTGCTCAGATATTTTCAAAGGCACCCCCTCCGCCCCACCTCCACCTGCAGAAAGTGGTCCCTCAAGCCCACCCCAAGCTCTAACCTCTCCGACCTCCTCGCTTTCAAGAAGGGGTTAAAGAACAAGCATTAGTTCTGAAGTGGGAACAAATTTCAACTCCAGACGGTCAGTCCCAGTGGGACTAGAGAGAGGTCTTGGCTATGGCAGGGGACGCAGCACTGGGCCTTTCTCTCGCTCACCAAGGGGGCTCAGAGTTCAGGGAAGCCAGGGGAGTAACCCCACTCTCCCCCAGGAGCCACAAGGCCTCCCAGGACGCAGTCTGCCCCCACCCAGCTCTGCCCCATGGACCATCTCTACCCCTTGAGTGATGTCCCCTGTCAGAGTCTCCTTTGCCCAGGATCTCCATGGCTCAGCCTTTGTGCCTCCTCCTTGCCTTGTTCTGGCCACCAGGCTGGATTTCTGCCGGTTCAGCTGTCCTGCCCCATCTTCCCCCACATGCTGGCAGTGTCCCCAACTCACCTGAGTCTCTCCTTGAGAGCCATGTCGAGAAGCTGTGGGGACAGCCTGCCAGGAAGAACCCTCTAGCTTGGAGCCAGGGGAGAAATAACCAGTTCCTGGTGACTGGGACAAAGCAGCTGCAGGCCATCTGTCAGAAACCACACCCACAGAAGCCAGCAGGGATGAACTGCCCTGATGGGGACTCCCTTGGGGGCGGTGCCTGCTGGAGGAAACCAGCCCCAGGATGGGGTGGGGGCTGGGAACCCCCTTGGGGCCAATCACCTGGGAGAAGGTGAATCTGAGGAGAGCCAGCTCTGGTTGGCCAGAGGCTCTGAGCTATTTCGTACTGACTTCTCTTACCTGCCTTGGGGGGTCCCTGCGCCTCTCTTCAGCATCTTGGAGCCCTGGGAGAGGACTATGGTCTGTGAGTCCCGCTAAGGTGTTTGCTGCCCAGGGAAAAATCCTGTTCTGCCAGATCTCAAGGGCACTGGTCACCTGGTTGTGACCTTGGACAACTCACAATAAAATGGGGTACATACACCGGTCACCCAGCACAGTGTAAGAGCCACACAAGATAGGGATAGGGAAGGGTTTTGGAAAGTTTACACTGGGCAGGGTTTTCTAAAAGTGCAGTTTGCAAGTTCTCAGAAATCAGTTTTGTGGACCAGGGATCAAGACCAAGATTTAAACGTATGAACAGGAAGAGAATTGAAAAGAAAATATTAGAATGTATTGCACATAAAGGTAGGTATTGTTTTATGAAATTTTTGTTTCAGAGATCTATATTTAGGTATGTATATGAGAGCGGGAGACCTTTTTTTTTTTAAACCGTGTCTCATGATCAAAAAAGTCTTCAAAATTCTGAGTAAAGCGTAAACAAGAACGAATACAGGTTTTCCTGCTATCTGAAAGAAGAGAGTTCTTTATGAAAACTGCCCTCAGTAGAAAAGGCATAAAAGCGAAGTTTTAATTGAATCATTACTTTATATGGAAAGTTTTTTTCAGCGTTCCCGGATCCAAAGGGTAACACATGGTGGGCTTTTCTGCTCCCTTAGGACACTGTCGCCTTGCTAACGGATACACAAAATAAATGGAGACAAAGCACAGATGCTCCCAGAGCTGTGGGGACGGAGATGCCACACGTCCCAGGTCCCCGGAAGGAGCACGGTCTCCGGAAGGAGCTCGGTCCCTGGGTCCCCGGTCCCCGGAAGGGCCTAGCACTGCATGAGCTTCTATGGCAGCTTGCTGCAAAGCAAAGGCTATTTTCACTTTTTGCCTTTTTTCATAAAACAAAAACCCTCTTGGCATTTGTTTTCCTTAGTGGAAACGGGTACTGCTGTAGGGTTTTGGTAAAAGTGGCCTACCGTGAGCTTTCGCAAGCAGGGGCTCTCCCTATGGATTTAAAGAAGCAAGCTTCGGATTGCCTGGGTGGCTCTGTTAAGCTTCCTACTTCAGCTCAGGTCAGGTCACACTCGCACTGTTTGTGGGTTCGAGCCTTGCGTCAGGCTCTGTGCTGACATGACATCTCGGAGCCTGGAGCCTGCTTCCGATTCTGTGTCTCCCTCTCTCTCACCCTCCCCGGCTCGGACTCTGTCTCTCTCTGTCTCCCAAAAATGAATACATGTTTAAAAAAAATTTAAAGAAGCACCCTTCCAACTTAGAACAGGTGGGGCCTGTCACCCGAACAAAACCACCAGTATTTGCTTGTGTCAGTGCCCTCGAATTCACCATGGCCCCTTTTAGGAGTTTCGGTGTCTTCCTCCTTCACCACACACGAAGAACAAATTCAGGAGAGGCCTGGCTTTCACTTTCCCCAGAAGGGAAAATGGGGGTCTGGGGTGAAGGGGCTTGTCCGGATCCGCACGGGGCCCTAGTGCACCTGCCCGCTGGGCCTGCATTCCTCCACCGGGTGGTTCCCCGCACCTTCCCGCTTTCCCCTGGGTTCCGCCCCGCCTGGCCCTGGCAGAGCCGCCCCTCCAGTCCGGGCTCTGGCCTCTAGGTAATCAAACTCATAAGTCGGCTTCTCCTTCTCCTCCTCCAGGTAGTAGTTACAATTTAACTGGCTTTCCAAAGAGGCGGTATCAAACTCCTAGAAGTTACTATGCCATATCTTTCCGGGCTCCACCCTTGGAGACTGATTCAGTGTGCTGGGGCCCAGGCCTCAAACCCACATTTTAAACAAGCAGAAACACTGCCTTAAGGAAAAACCCAGAGCTGGAAGGAGCAGGAGGTCAGGCGCAGGAGTTTCATAAGGGAGTTTCAGCTCCATTTGGGCAGGGCAGGGGCTGCTTTGCGCTCCACGAGGCCTGGTTCAGGGAGGCACAGGGCCACACAAGCCGCTGTTGGCCGCACACACCGGGGCTACTCCCGCCAGCTCAGCTCGAGTCCCACCATCCACACCCCACCCCCCATGCCTTTGCAGAGCCACCTGCGTCGAGAATGCCTTCTTCTTCATTCAAGACTTAGGTGTCACTTGCGCGAGGACAAAGCCTCTAATAATTAGCTATTCCAACATCCCACAACTGCTCAGAAACTGCCGAGTGAACCAAAGCCATCCCAAGGGCTCTCGGACACGGAGCCGCTGCGCAGCAACAACCGAGGGTGTGTGCCTGGGGATGGAAGAGTCTGGGCTCTGCCCCAGGTGTTCCAGGTTATTCCTGGCCCAAGAGCACTGCGTCTCCCCTGCGGGAAGTGAGAGGGGGACTCAGAGCTAAGGGGCTCTGGACCCTCCCACTCCAAGGGACACAGGTGAAAGAGAGGCCATGTCAGCTTCCTCCTGTGAAATGGGGCGAAGGGCGCCCTCAGACCACGGACCGGGCCCCAGCAAAGCGTGGAGGGCGTGCTGTCCAGTTAAGGCCGTCCCTCCCCCAACCCAGGAAACCACCCCTCTCCTTGTGGACGAAAAGGAGCCAGTGGAGAAAGGCACAGAAGAAACAGATTTTACAGATTTATTTTTAAAAAATGAAAACAAAAGGTTAAAAAAGTCCTTCATTTCCAACCCTGCCTGGGGGTGTGTGTGGGGAATAGAACAAGCTGAGAAAGGTGCCCACCCTGTTCCCAGGGAGAGCCCCGCTCCTCCCCCAGGAGCCTCCGAGGACAGGGCAAGTCAGAGGCAGGCCCTCGCCCTTCCTGCCCCGCCTCCTCCGCAGGTAGCTCAAATTGCTAGCAAGTTCGAGAGGCAAACAAGTGTGGGAGCTGGAGGCCCAAGGCTGCCTTCTTCGAGGCAATGCCACCCTGGCTCTTCTCTGCCCTCAGGCGTTCTATGGGCCCCCACTCAGGGGCTCCTGGGGCGGGCGGGCGGGCAGGCCAGGAGGCCCCGCCCGGCCTACAGCAGCTCCCTTAATGCTGTTCGTGGCACAGCAGGGCAGTCGGGGGGACTTCACAGTGTGGGAAGGGCTTCGGAGACAGCGTGCCCACTCTGGAAAGGAAAACCGCCTGATCTCGCCTCTCTGCACAGAGGTTGCCCTCCTTTTCTATTCCCCATCCTGAGGCTGAGTGGAGTCCAGGACAAAGCACTAAGTGGCTGTTTGCTACAGAACACCTGGAGGTGCCAGAGGGTGGCTCTGGGCCCATCTGTCAGTCCAGGCTCCTACACAGTCATCCAGTCACACACACAGCGTTAAGGCGTCTGTGCCAGTGGGCGTGGCCGAACCGGGCCCAGCTTCTCTCGCTCCACCTGCAGAGGGTGAAGGGGGAGAGCCCCTGGCTGCTTCAGAAACGGGCTGAAGGGGGAGAAGCTGGCAACGGAAGAGTTAGCCAGGCCTGGAGAAAGAAGCGGGAGGAAGGCAGGCAAGGGCTCGCGAGGCCTCTATCCAGGCCTGACGGCTGCCCTTGGAAGTAACCCAACTCAGGTTGGGGAGCCCTGACCATATGCCCCCTGGAAAATGGGGGACAGAAAGAGAGGAAGAGAGCGGGGCTAGAGTATTGGGACTTTGGAGGAAGCCAGTGCTATCAATATTTACAAGCATAAAGCCCCATCTTCTGCGCCACCTACCTCTCTGCCCCTCCCACAGAAAGAAAGGCCCCTGAGAGCCATTGAGGGGGTGCCAAGCCCTCCTCACCAGCCACGCCCCACAGGGAGAGCCCTTCCCTCCGACTGGCCCTGTTTCTGGGCCCCTCAGGAACGTCCGCCTGGCTCTGCTCAGTCGGGAGGAGGAGCCCGGGCCAGACCCCTGGCTCTCCGGCCGGCCCTACGAGTCCTTGAGCATGCTGATGCGTGCGTAGATCTTCAGGGCCGGCCCCAGCTTGATGTTCATGGCGCTCATCAGATGGTCCTCCTTGAGCAGCAGCAGGGCTTGCCCGTCGATCTCCTGGGCGCGGAACTCCTCTGCGATCTCCTGGCAGCCTGAGGGGACACCACCAAGGACCGCATCACCCTGAGCTCCCGCGTTCGCGCTTGGCGGTCACTGCGCGGGAGACGTGCGATCTCGTCTAACCCTCCCGGCCGCCCCGCACCTCAAGGAATGGCCATCCTGCTGTCAGAGGCCAAGCGACTTCCCCAGTGGTCCCACCTCCTCATTCACGCGTGTGTCCTCACTGGACCCTCCCCTCAATGGACTGGGCGGACCCAGCAGAGCAACACGGTGCTGCAGAAGTGACCGCGTGTGATTTCCAGGCCTAGGTCACCAAGGGTACAGCAGGTGCCACCTTGCTTCATTTTGGAGGAAGCTGGCGACCGTATCGTGAGGACCCTGGAGCAGCACTCCGAAGAGGCCCAGGTGGACAGGAACTGAGGCCGCCTGGGTGGGGCACCTTGGAACCGGTCCTTCGGCTCCAGACCAGACAACTGCACTCTGGCTGCCATCCCGATGGAGGCCTCGTAAGAGCCCAGGCCAGTGCTGCGCAGCTAAGCCGCATCCCCGACCCGCAGAACCCGGGGTAGCAGCCACTACGCTCTGGGGTAACGAATGAAGTTTGGTTCCCGGAAGAGGGGTGCTTCCATGGCCAGGAGGCGGCAGCTGGAAGGACCGTGAGGAGTCAGTGAGGCGTCTCAGACACTCAGAGAGGCTTGAGGCTCGGCGGGAGTCTGACGGCCTGTGAGGAAACTGGGTGAGGCTTCGAGGAAAGTGAGGAAACTGTTCCTGGAAATCGGAAAAAACGGAGCAAATGTGGCCGCCCTGCCGCGGGGGTCACGCGGTGAGTTTAACGTGCCTCACGAACTGAGCAATCTGAGGATGTTTCCAGCAGAATGCCAAAGGCTTTGCCTGGCGTCTGATGCTGCTCACAGGAAACTGAGGAGAGGCAAGGAAAAGGCAGAACAGTTCCACATCAAGGAGCTAGGACTGGCTGGTTTGAAAATCGCTAGCCTCTCTGACAGCAAATGAGGCTGAAACTACGAAGTAGTCTCTAGGCAGAGGTCAAAGCAAGGACGTGGGACACGGGCTAGAGACGGAACTGAGGGTGTGATCAATCTTTCACTAAGACCTTGGAAGCATGAAGGTGCTGCCTCAGAGGGCTCTCTAAGGATGTCATGGGCGTGCCTCATGGATCCTCGCCATTCAACAGCGGAACTTCTGAGAGGTTAGGGGCACTGTCCCCCAGCTTCAGAAGAAGCCGACAGAGAGGAAGGCTTACCTTGGAGCATTTTTGGGTATGGGTTTTGTCTAATGGAGTGAACCCCAACAACTCGCATAGGAAGCCCACAAAGATTTTAAGAGAATCGTACTCGCACAGACACTGCTCCAACCGAAAGGGTCAGAAGTCATAGAAAATGAGGAGCAGTACAAACAGGCTGAGGAAACGCCCCTGCTGAAAGCCCAGGCTGCCTTTCATGGGAAAGAAAGGATGACTCAGAGGGTGGAACCAAGAAAGGGAAAGAAAGTCACTCCTAGGCTCTGAGTCCTAATTCGGGAAATGCCAACATGTGTCCGTGCTAGGTTTCGGAACTAGTGCCATGGCTCCTGTATCCCCCGTTTTCCCCTTGTTGAACAAGCATGCCCACTGCGGTGACCCTGTGCCTATCCCGCCAGATCTGGGGTTTGTGGAAGGAGACGGGTCACATGTCTCTAGCTCTCAGGTGTTCAGATCGAGAGGAACTGGCCGCAGGAGCTCCTCCACGCCTGGACCTGAGTTCGGTGGTTGAGATCCTGGGCTTCGAGCCCCTGCTGTCATGGAATGAGGCCTATGGAGTCGGGGTGGGGGTGGGGGTGGTCTACTTGAGGGAGGGACATGAATCACTGGGGCCTGTGACTGGGGAACTACGGTAACCGGCCCTCAGACAGCTCCAAATCAACCTGGCTTCCCTTTTATGCCCCCGCAGGCGCGACCTGTGTGACAGTGTGAAAGTGACACCACGTGGTTTTACGACCTGTGTGACAGTGTGAAAGTGACACCACGTGGTTTCGGAATCTAGATCAAAAGGGGCACAGTGGCTTCCACCTGATGTCCCGGACCACCAGCTGTAGGGCAAGTGCTTGCCACGTCCTGGGAACACCCAAGCGTGAGTGGCCCATACTGAGAGGAACTGACACCCGCTGTGGGCAGCCATACCCTCCTCGAGAATCAGGGCAGTGCGGCACCTCAGAACAGGATTCCGCAGCCCCAGGGAAGCCACATCTTCATCGCAACCTTGTGAGAGGCCCTGGGGCAGAACTGCCCAGCCGAGCCACTCCCAGATTCCTTCCCGACAGTGACCGTGTGGGGATATATTCTGGGGGCGCAGCAACAGATGACTAACACACTGAGCTAAGGGGCAGAGCCAGGATGCGAGCCCAGTCCTGACACACAAGGCTGTGCTCTCAACCGCTATTTCCACTCCAGGCTTGGAGTCCCAGGCCTGTGGCGGCCCCTCTGTACCTGGTGTGGCCAGCGGCCGGGTGAGACTGGGCAGAAACAACAGTAGAGAGGTTGTGTGATCCCACAGAGAGCATCTGTGAGTAACATGAGGTTTGCCTTCCAGGGTTCATTTCTAAACTGTAGCCCTCAAAACCACGTGCACTCCCTGCCAGGGTTGTGTGCAGTCCTGGGTACGCGGCAGACTTGCACGTCTGTGTGCCTCTGCTCACACGCCGCCGCCCCCCCCCCCCCCCCCCCCGGGTGCCATCTCTCCAGCTGGCCAAGGCCTGCCCGCCTGCGGTTTCCAGCTCCCACTGTCCTCTGCTGGCTTTCTCTTTGACAGGTTGCCTACATTCCACTTGGCTCCTCTCATACTCTGTCCCAGGAGAGACACAGGGTGGACTCACCGTCCCCTCTGCATTTCACACAGCCAGCTCACCATGGCAGCAAATACACCTCATTACAGGCACAGGATTTAACTTACAGTTGTGTTCTGAACTAGAAAGTACACTTCCAGGCGGGAACCTCACTGACTCATCTCTGCACTCCCATTCGTGAGCCTGAGTCATCAACTGAGTCATTTCCTGGTCGGGGGAGGGGAGGTCTCTCCCTCTCTCCCGTGCGATGCTATCCCGGGCAGGTGTGGGACTGTCAGGGGTCTTACCTGGCAGGGAGCGGATGAACTCGTAGACATCTTCTACATTCCATTTGGTGGGCTCGCTTGGTAGGAAGTGGTGCCCCATGCCCACCAGGTCCCGCATGTGCATGTCAGGGAGCTCCAGGTCCCGCTGGCCTTGTCGCCGGCGGGAGGTGGACGAACTGGCTGAGATGGGTGACAGGGGCTCCTCATAGCTTGAGTTATCCGAGCAACGGCTGGAGTCTTCCTGGCTGTGTGTCAGCTGCAACGCGGCCGTGACCGAGAGGGGCACGGTGCCTGTTGGCTGGGGGGCAGAGAGAATGGTTGGCTTCCTGATGGGAGAACCACCCACGTCTAGCAGAGTGACAGGCAAAGCAAGTGGTGTCCTCCTTCTACTTGGTCCATGACTACATACCTTTGAATTCCTAGATCAAAGCATCTTCCGGGCTGTCCCCTCTCTTGTCCTCCCAGTACTGGCACGTGCACCGCACTGCACAGCAATGACCTGACTCTATGTCTGTTGTTTCTTCTAGATGTGGGGTTTTAAACCAGGGCTCTATGGGTTTCAGGGGTGGTCTACGAAACAGCATGGAGAATTTCCTGGGCATGTGCATGTTGGATGGCAGCTTTCCTCAGAGTCTTAAAGAGGTTTATGACCCAAGTGACAACAAGCAGCAAAAATACATCAGGTTCTGAAATGTCCCACTAGGCTGTGGGCTCCTGCAGGGTGACTTAGAGCCTTAGCGCCTCACAGTGCTACAGCGCCTCTCAGCATACGGCTGGGGCTACAAAATAGTTAACGAATGAATACCCATGGTCCTGGTAGAGGCTTCAAGAACTCAGTGCTCTGTGTTTGAGGAGGCAATGACGGGGCGCCTGGGTGGCTCGGTTGGTTAAACGGCCATCTTCGGCTCAGGTCATGGTCTCACGGTTCGTGAGTTCGAGCCCCGTGTCGGGCTCTGTGCTGACAGCTCAGAGCCTGGAGCCTGCTTCGGATTCTGTGTCTCCCTCTCTCTCTGTCCCTCCCCCGCTCATGCTCTTTCTCTCTTACTCAAAAATAAACATTAAGAAAAAAACCAAAAAGAGCCAATGAGATGTGGGGGAAAGGGTACAGGCTGCCTCCCCACCCAGCCCTCCATGTGAGACATGAGATAACCGGGACGGTTTGTCTCTTCACAGGGCCAGGCAGAGGAGACCCCACTTCCATGCTCCCAGAAGGATGGAAGCAAACTGGAAGGGGAGAGGTGAGGAAGGGGCAAGGGAAACCACCCCTAAGCATCCATGCGTCCAAATGCAAGGGCCCCTTAAGGGACCTGAGAAGGTTGTGAGAAATGAGGACATAACAGAGTATACTTAGTCAGCAGTGGGAAAGGCATGCGGCTGTCCCGGGCCTCTTAAGAAGGGAAGTTGGCGGGGACTTGTGTCAAGCCGGCATCTCACCTGCTTCTTGGTATCCTTGGTAAGTGGTGGCAGACTGGCTTTGCTGGCCCGGCGGCGGTTGTGGGTCGTGGCTCCTGCCTTCTGAAGCTTGCTCCGGTCCGAGTGGAAAAGCCCCACTCGTTTGGTGCACCCCACGTTGTACCTGCCAGAGTCGGGGAAGGACGGAAGTCAGAGCACAGTCATGGGGAGTACGGGCCTCGGGCAGCATGACAGCAGCCGGGCTCTCTAGCAACATCTGAGTCTGTCTATTTGCGCCGATCCTGGGTCTACCACTGACTGCTAGCTGTGTGACTCTGGGTAAGCCACTGGATCTCTAAGCCTCAGTTTCCTCATCTGGAGCTGGGGATGAGACGGCTCACTTCCCAAACTCAGTCCAACAGTGACATGAGCTAACATGTGGCAAGTGCTCAGCATGACAACTTAGGTCATGAGAAGAACTCGTGGCCGACATGGTCTACACTGAATGTCACTGGTGCCAGAAGACAGCTGCCTGCAGTCCTGCTGGGAGGTACAGGCGCACCTCACAGACACTGCGGGGTCGGTTCCAGAGAGGACTCGCAATAAAGAGAGTCAGATGACTTCTGTTTGTTCCCTGATGCATATAAAAGTAAGGTTTACGTTACACTGGAGTTTATTAAGCATGCAATAGCATTATGTCTAAAAAAACCAATGTACATGCCTTAATTTAAACACACCTTATTGCTGGGGCGCCTGGGTGGCTCAGTTGGTTAAGTGTCCGACTTCGGTTCAGGTCATGGCCTCACGGTTTGTGAGTTCAAGCCCCGCGTCAGGCTCTGTGCTGACAGCTCAGAGCCCGGAGCCTGCTTTGGATTCTGTGTCTCCCTCTCTCTCTGCCCCTTCCCTGCTTGTGCTCTGTCTCTCTCTCTCTCTCAAAAATAAACATTAAAAAAATTTTATGAAATAAAAAAATACCTTATTGCTAAAAATCGCTAACCATCATCTGAGCTTTCAGTGAGTCATAAATAACCTTTTTGCTGATGGAGGGTTTCGCCTCGATGCCAACAGCTGCTCGCTGATCAGGGTGGTGGGTGCTGAAGGCTGGGGCAAGTTCCTAAAATAAGACAACGATGAAGTCTGCCATGGTGATGGACTCTCCCTTTCATGGACGATTTCTTTGTCACGTGCAATGCTGTTTGATAGCATTTTCCCCACAGAACTGCTTTCAAAATTGGGACTCCTCTCAAACCCTGCCACTGCTTTATCAACTCAGTTTATGTAATCCTTTGTTGTCATTTCAACAGTCTTCACAAGCATCTTCACCAGGAGATTCCACCCACCACGTTCTTACTTTCTTTGCTCCTCTATAAGAAGCCACTCCTCATCCATTCAAGTTGCATCACGAGATGGTAGCAACCCCGCCCCATCTTCAGGCTCCACTCCTCATTCTGGTTCTCTTGCTATTTCCACCACATCTGCAAGGACTTCCTCCACTGAAGTCTTGAACCCCTCACGGTCATCCATGAGAGTGGGAATCAACTTCTTCCAAACTCCATTAATGTTGCTATTTTGAGCACGTCCCATGCATCCTGAATATTCTTAAAGGCATCTAGAATGACAAATCCTTTCCAGAAAGTTTTTAATGGCCTCTTCCCAGATCCACCATCCTGATCTATGGCAGCTAGAGTCTTACAAAATGCACTTTTAAAAAAGACCTGAAAGTCAAAATGACCCCTTGATCCATGGGCTACAGAATGGATGATATATTTGTTAGCAGGCACATGGAAACAACATGAAATCTCATTGCCATCTCCATCAGAGCTTGTGGGTGACCAGGTGCACTCTCAGTGAGTGGTGACATTCTGTATTTTTTTTTTTTAATGTTTATTTTGGGGGGGGAGGGGCGAGAGAGAGAGGGAGACACAGAATCCAAAGCAGGCTCCAGGCTCTGAGCTGTCAGCACAGAGCCCGACATGGGGCTTGAACTCACAGACTATGAGATCATGACTTGAGCTGAAGTCAGACACTTAACCGACTGAGCCACCCAGGCTCCTTGAGCAGTGATATTCTGAAAGAAATCTTTTTTCCTGAGCAGTAAGTCTCAACAGTGGACTTAAAATATTTACTAAACCATGCCATAAACAGATGTGCTGTCATCCAGGCTTTGTTGTTCCACTGACAGAGCACAGGCAGAGTAGATGTAGCATAATTCTTAAGGGATGTTCAGAATGGTCCATGGGCATAGACTTCAACTTCCAACAACTCACCAGCTGCATTAGCCCCTAACACGACAGTCAGCCTGTCCTCTGAAGCTATGACGCCAAGCACAGACTTCTCTCTAGCTACGCAAGTCCTAGACGGTGTCTTCTTCCAATAACGGGCTGTTTTGTCTGCATTGAAAATCTGTTGTTTAGCACGGCCACCTTCCTGAATTACTGTAGCCGGATCTTCTGGGTAACTGGCTGCAGCTTCTACATCAGCACCTGCTGCCTCACTATGCATTTTTATAAAACGAGATGGCTTCTTCCCTTAAATCTCATGAACCAACCTCAGCCAGCTTCAGATTTTTCTTCTGCAGCTTCCTCTCCTCTCTCAGCTTCACAGAATTGAAGAGAGTCGGGGCCTTGCTCTGGATTAGACTGTGGCTTAAGGGAATGTTGGGGCTGGTTTGATCTTCTATGTAGACCACTCAAAGTTTGTCCATATCCGCAATAAGGCTGTTTTGCTTTCTTATCATTTGCATGTTCACTGGAGTAGCACTTTTAATTTCCTTCAAGAACTTTTCCTTTGCATTCACAACTTGGCTAACTGTTTGGAACCAGAGGCCTATCTTCTGGCCATCTTGGCTTTCCACATGCCTTCCTCACTAAGCTTAATCATTTCTAGCTTTTGATTGGAAGTGAGAGACCTGTGCCTCTTCCTTTCACTTGATCACTTAGAGGCCACAGTAGGGTTATTAATGGGCCTAATCTCAACACTGTTGTGTTTCAAGGAATAGGGAGGCCTGAGGAGAGGGAGAGGCAGGGGAACGGTCGGTTGGTGGAGCACTCAGAACACACATGACGTTTACTAAGTTCACCATCTTATGTGGCAGTAGTTCACAGAACCCAGAACAATCATAGTAACATCAAAGATCACTGATCGCTGCGATGTGATAATAACGAAAAGGGAAATGTTGCAAGAATTACCAAAATGTGACACAGAGACAAGAAGTGAGCGAATGCTGTTGGAAAAACGGTGCCGATGGGACTTGCCTGACACAGAGTTGCCGCACACCTTCAATGTGTAAAAAGCGCAGTATCTGGGAAGCATGATAAAATGAGATATGCCTGTAGCTTGGCAGAGCTTCACAGAGGTACCCTGATTACCTCCAGCACAGGGCTGAGGACAGCCTTATTCCAGCCGGCATGCGGAGCCCCTCTCTGCCTGGGGATTGAGAGAGTTCTATTCCTTTGAGGGTCCAGGGCTCTGGGATTGGTGCCTCTTCTGCCTTGGTATGAAGACCACATAGGGCTCTGGAGTCAGATGGGTCTAACTCCCCAACTATGCCGCTTGGCACAACTACTTATCCTCTATGCCTCAGTTTCCTAGTGCGTGTGAACGGCACAGTTATGCCTGCTTCACAGTTATTTTGAAGACCAGATGACCCAGGGCGTATCAACTGCCTAGAGCAGCGCCTAGCACGTGGCAGGCACGCAGTAAACGACGCTGTGTCTGACTAGGATCATCGGTCTACGCTGGGTGAAGCGCACAAAGAGAACATCTACAATGAGCACAGTGGCTCGGCGCGAAGCCTCTGGTGGAGGGCTTGCCCAGTGGGGACAGTAGCTGCCAAGGGCAGGGAAAGAGGACGGGTTCAATGGGGCCCAGGAGGGACAGCCGAGCTGAAGCACTGCCTCCTCTCCTCGAACTTGGGGCTGCTCACTCGAGCTCTGGGTTCCAGGACCTGGCGGATTAGCGACACGGTGCCACTTCCAGGCTGGTGGAGGAAGACGGAACGCGGATAAGCTACACCTACGGTCTCCCAGGATGGACGATCGATCGCTGAAGGGAGGTAGGACACGACACGAGGTGCGATCCTGAGGAGGCGGAAGGGCTGGCACAGCGACAGGGCTGAGGCCACTCACCTCTTTGCACACGCCATGGAACAGAAGCGCTTGGAACGCTTGAACTTGTAGGCAAAGTCCACCCGGCCACAGAGTTCACACTTGAGTTTGAGGGGAGTACCCTCCTCTTTGGATTCTGGAAAGTATGGAAACTAGAGTAAGTGTAAAGACGAGCAACCCCCACAGGACCCCACGAGGCCTCCCTTCTCTGCTCTGCCTCTTCCTCATGTCCCCACAGCTGTGGCATGCAGTGGTGGTCTGGCTTGGAAAATGCCCATCTGCTTTTGCTGCTGGTTTGGGAAGAGACGTTTCTTCCACCCTGGCCAGTAGCAGTGGTGTTTGGTGACGGACCCTCGGACACCTAACAGGTTTTCTGTCCGAGTGCTACGAGCCTGAGGCAAACACAGGTGGTGAAGAATCAGCACCCCTCTGGAAGAGAGGAGGCTCGTGGGGAATACTCTGGATGCTGTCACAACCGATCTGGAATTATCCTACCGTGACCCGTCTGGTCAGCTGTTGCCCTGGATCACAGAACCCAGGAGTTCTGTATCCTACGTAGCCCCCGCTCAGTCAGTGGCTCCTGCTGCAAGTGCAGTCGTCGTCGCCTGGCCACTGTGGCGCCAGAGGGCCGGCTCCCGAGGCAGCGAAGGAGGGGCACTCCTGCCTGCCCACTCCCACCTCCTGCCAGCGACTCCCACAGGAAAAGCAACTCTTGGAATCCTGTGCATGGCCGGAGTGGGGCTGGGGGAGGGGCGAGGGACAAACAGTTCCCCGAGGGCAGGGACTTTCCCTCTTCTGTTTTCTAGGGGGCAGGGCCCGGGGGGAAATGGTTGATAGACCGATATGTTAACCCACTCTCTGGCCAGGGTTCCTCCACGGATACGGCTAGAGGAAGTGTGCGAGGCCTGCCTTTGTGGCCCTGTCTACTTCCCGGTCAGCTCAGCCAAATCGGAAGGCATTTGGGGTATGAGAGGCCTACCTTGCAGATAGGGCTCCTCCATCTCAGAGTCAGTGGTGGTGGTGTGATCCTGCTGTGGAAGTTTCTCAGGCAAGAACCCCTGTGCATACTTCTTCTTGAGATTCCCCACCAGCAGGGACGAGCGTCCCACCTAGAGGACAAGGTGACATGGAGGCCATGAGGGTTAGGTGGGAGACACTGCCTTGTTATCCAGCCTCATCAAAATTACAAATATAAAGCATCTAGGTGCAGATGCCAGCCTCCACATCATCATCCAAGTGTGCCTTGCTCAAGGCCCTATTCTGCTGAGCAGCTCAGGAGGCAAGATGCCAACTGTCCCCCAAGTACAGGGATGGCTTCAATCCAGGACCAAAGGACGGCTTAGGAGGTTAGGAAAATACCTACTCTTCCAAGTGAGTGAGGGGCAGAGATGGAGACAGAAATCACCACCAGCGAAGCTGCCAGGACCCAGGGTTCACATGTCACCGGGCAGGAATACAGCCGAGGCCGTGTGTGTGAGTATATGTATGACACTAGAGGGACTCGGCAACCATTTTTTCGTTTCCTACTTTTCCCCACCTTACGGCTGCTCTACCCAAGCCAGAGACACAGGCAGCCATGGAGGAGAGCAGAAGGAAATGGACTCTGGGCCACAGAGCAAATGCCCTGTGTGGCTGCCAGGATCTAGACGGGCTTATTCACTCTTGGTCCTTCCTTCGTTGCCTCTGTGCAGGCAACCTGGTGGCTAGATCTCTGGGGCGATGCCGTGGGGGAGCCATTCAATCTGCATCCGCCCTGTCAGATCGGTTGGTTTCTGGTGTTTCTCTAGGAGACCAAGGCCAAGACCTAGTCTAATGAGGGAGGGGACGTGACAGGGCTGGAGCTACTTATAGCTAAGGTGCTCCAGGTAGATTTCTTTGCCACAGGCCTTGAACAACCTTCAGAGGGAAAGAGGACAAGAACCTATTTGTCTTCTGGCATTTTAGAAGGGCAGTTCAGCCAGCTCAGTCAATCAAGCTTAGAGTCTTCTGCTGACTGTTCCAACCACTCAGGGACCCGAAGAATGAGCAGAAGGCAGATGGCATCCCATGAAGATGGTATTCTCTAACAGCCAGATAATCTCATCACAGGAGAGGCTGGTGTGCACCTGGCTCTGGGCTCCTCCCACCTGTATAAGAGCATCACCTGTCTTCACCAATTCACACTGCACAGAATCAGCTGTGGGTGTTTTGTTCTAACAAGCCATTTTCTTGATTCTTTTATATTTCCCTTTGGTCTTATGCTCTCATTGGACACATCTGATTGTGGCCTTTCTAAAGTACCCCTCACTCTCATTCATTCTCTTTTCAAGGCTCTGTCACCAGAAAAGAAGCTTCAGGCTACAACCCTGTTCTCTTCTCTTCATCTCAGACACATCCTGAAAATTTTGTTCTACGGTTTCCTTTTGTTCTCTAATTGGCTAAAGTTTTGCCATTCAGAGGTTCTGGCATTCAAAACTGAACGAGGTCTCATTTCCCCAAACCCATCATCTTTCCCCCAACACCCCAATGTGAATTCCCTTCTAACTAAGGGGGTCACACATCACCAGGCAGGAACATGGCTGAGTCTGTGTGTGGAAAACTTCTAACCAAGGGACCTTGCCAATTATTCCTAATCATGGATCCCTTCTGGACCTTAGGAAGACACTCAATCCTAGAAAGAAAATGGCTCTGACATTCTTTTGCGGGGGGGAAATTAGCAAGGAAAGAGCAAACTGTTTACATTTTTGGACATTTTACATGGAAATGTAAAAATATTCTAATACACATCCAAAATATACTTCAAAAAAAAAAAAACAAAAAAAA